CCATCAAATTCTGTGCTGACTTATTCCCTGCTCACAAATGTCCTTCCGCTATAAAGTTTAAAATAAGACTAGAATGCGCGAGCGTGAATTGATCAAACGCCCTTTTAATTTCTAAGGCTTACTTTCTGGCAAATGAAATGAACTAAATGTAAAAAGTGAAATAGAAATAGCGAAAAATTAAACTTCTTATTAAATCTTTTCTTATGGTTTAGAATAAACTATTCTCGAAACTGAGAACGTTTTGATCAAAGCTGTGTAAATTGAACCGAAACTGCATGCATGGAACCTTGCGTTTATTTCCTGTATTTATCTCACCTATTGTATGGAATATGTGTAAACATCTTCATTATGAATCGGTATATTTCAAAGAGCTACACAAAGAGCAAGAATACTATATACAGAGCGGGGGCAGCTGTAGTGTCAACTATTACTAGTTATTAAAATGTTAAATGAATTTGTTTAGGCAAGAAAGACAAAGACAGGTTAAGAAGCAAATATCAACTCAATTAGCACGTCTGTCTCGACAGAACTGAGTGCATTTGCAAAAGATCACTGATCAAAGAAACAAAGGGTTAGGTTCATGTTTTTATTTGTTTTACATGTAACACCAAATTAATACACAGATTAAGGAGCTTATAACTAAAGTGCTTATTACGCAACTTTAGGGTGGCCATTCTGGACTCGGTTAGCAGTTTTATAGTGCAACATTTTCTAACTTTATGGGCCATGCACATGGCCCATGGCCTTCCCAATTCTTGCTACCTAATTAGGGGATGAGGCTTTCATATGATCTGAAGAATCATGCAGATCAAGGAGCCGAAGGTGTCATGTACCGTTATAATGAATGAGACCATCCAAGATCTGCATATTATTGTTCAGATCATAAAAAANTGACATAAAACACAAAAAATCCCGAAGGAACAGATTACAATAGGTAGATTTTGTGACATTAATAATTGTGCAGTCATACTTCGATACTCTTTTGCGTTACGTGTTATCAGTGACATTCGGTGGAGCAGTTGTTATGAAAGTTATGGACCAAAAGACACTCGTTAAGCGCAGATGAAGTGATAAGGTGTGTAGAACAGTGTATATTTTAACACTAAGTGAGTTTGCCAGACACGAGTTCACAAATCTTTGATTGGAAACTCGATCAGCTGAACCTTGCCAGAGACTCTTTCTGTCTCTGTGACTGGAATAAGACTCGGCCCAAAACAAGCAAGACGAGTGAATGATTCAATGGTTAGCTTATCACTAGCAGAACGATGGACGATTACAGAAATTCGCCGACCATCAAATTCTGTGCTGACTTATTCCCTGCTCACAAATGTCCTTCCGCTATAAAGTTTAAAATAAGACTAGAATGCGCGAGCGTGAATTGATCAAACGCCCTTTTAATTTCTAAGGCTTACTTTCTGGCAAATGAAATGAACTAAATGTAAAAAGTGAAATAGAAATAGCGAAAAATTAAACTTCTTATTAAATCTTTTCTTATGGTTTAGAATAAACTATTCTCGAAACTGAGAACGTTTTGATCAAAGCTGTGTAAATTGAACCGAAACTGCATGCGTGGAACCTTGCGTTTATTTCCTGTATTTATCTCACCTATTGTATGGAATATGTGTAAACATCTTCATTATGAATCGGTATATTTCAAAGAGCTACACAAAGAGCAAGAATACTATATACAGAGCGGGGGCAGCTGTAGTGTCAACTATTACTAGTTATTAAAATGTTAAATGAATTTGTTTAGGCAAGAAAGACAAAGACAGGTTAAGAAGCAAATATCAACTCAATTAGCACGTCTGTCTCGACAGAACTGAGTGCATTTGCAAAAGATCACTGATCAAAGAAACAAAGGGTTAGGTTCGTGTTTTTATTTGTTTTACATGTAACACCAAATTAATACACAGATTAAGGAGCTTATAACTAAAGTGCTTATTACGCAACTTTAGGGTGGCCATTCTGGACTCGGTTAGCAGTTTTATAGTGCAACATTTTCTAACTTTATGGGCCATGCACATGGCCCATGGCCTTCCCAATTCTTGCTACCTAATTAGGGGATGAGGCTTTCATATGATCTGAAGAATCATGCAGATCAAGGAGCCGAAGGTGTCATGTACCGTTATAATGAATGAGACCATCCAAGATCTGCATATTATTGTTCAGATCATAAAAAAGCTGAACCCATTATGTATGTTCATGCAAAATACATGTAGTTCTTGCTTTAAAACAAGCTTAACTTGATTGATGTTAAATTTCTGTCTTCATTTGTCTGTTCCATGAGAAATTATGGACATACAAAGAGATGTTTAAAATCTAACATACATTCTCCAGATAGCACTGTTGCCATCTATTTATTTTGCATTTTTTGCTGTGTTACTATGTTTTAGGCTAAAATTGGTCTATTTACAAATAAGCTTCATATGCAATCTCGTCCCCAGGGATTCTTGCTTGCCTGATCCCTTTTTCTGGTGATTATCACCAGAAAAAGGTGTACGGTGTAGTTAGCTCTGAAGAATAAGCCAGGGGTCTGAGCAAATCAGAAACAGAGAGATATTGTGAGTTAAATATGATATAATTCCCACTCCTTTTTCATGAAAATCCCGCATCCCGCAATTTTGGACATCTCTTTCCCGAATTCCTTTTTTCTTTCCCAAAAAAATACAACAAGGCACACTGTCTCTATAGTTTGGTTTGAACGAGTAATCATGCAGCTCCTGGTTTTAGAGGAGATACCACTTAACGCTTGCCTGGTTAATTCACAATTGCTGCTCAAACGTAGGATTTCCTGAATTCCCAACATATGGTTAAAAAAATCCCCTATCCCGTGCCCAAATTTTGGCAAATCTGGCTTCCCGGGTGACCAGAAAATCCTGTTTCCCGTTAAGATAATTATCTTGTGTTTTCCAGAATCCCACACTCTCTTTTGGTCAAATCATGGATCGCAATAAATCTCTTTTAGACCCTGGTCAAATTGAGGAAGCAGTCTGCAATTTTGCTGCTTCTCGTGGAATACGTCTCTTATTGGATTTTTCAATACTAAAGGTTTATTAATAGTTAAGGCCTTGCATTGCCATGCCACCTGTTATGTATACTTTGGTTATATCATATTTGCCACTTAACACGGTATAGTTAAACATTTTGATTGGGCTGCTACATGTATGCTGTATGTGAAACAGTGTTGACTGAAACAAAAGGAAAATTATTCATCATTATTATCAAAACGCTGCCAAATGACAAAGTGCCCTCTGTAAAACATGCCTTTTTGCGGGCCAAATGGGCAATGGGCAGGCTGAAAATGCATTTGCTGCCCTGATTCTGATTGGCTGTAGACTAGATGTCAAACAACTTTGCATGGCCAATGAGATCCTGAGGATACCATTTCAGTGCCAGAGTTGGTGCGAATTTTTGTGGATGAATTTGCACTTGCTCACTTTGTAGTTTTGTGGTGAATGTTTGATGTTTGGAGATTCTATTTTAAAATGGAGAGTCCCAAATTCTCAGCTTTTTTCCAGTCAAACTTTGAACTTAAACAATGAGCAACTGGATGAAATTGAGCAAAAGGCTCAAGCAAAAAACACCAAGCTAAGAGAGCAAGAGTGGGGAGTAAAAAAGTTGGAGAAATGGTGTGAGAAAAGAAAAATTAATTTATAGTGGATCTGAGAATACAGTGGAATTCTACAAAAGTTCTTCACTGAAGTGAAAACAGAGAAAGGCTGTGCATTCACTCCAAGTGCATGAACGGGAATGAGATCATGCAGGCATTGATCACCATCTAACCTGTGCTCCACTCAGCTGAAACATAAACACTATTTTTGCAAGAGTCTGCAAATTCATGTCTGCCAACAAAACAATGCTAAACCAAAACACAAATCATCTATTCAGTCAGGAGACAGACAGAAATTGAATCGCTACTTCGTGGAAGGGCAGAAAATGGACGGTGTTTGGACAGATGCGGAGAAGTTCGTTGAGTTTATTAGGTTTTTGTTGTGTTTTCATTTTGCTTGCTGTGGCAAAGATTTCGCCTTGTGTATTGCAGATAATAATATATAATAATGATAATCACATGACTTTTGGCGGGCATATATAATTATTGTGTCCCTCGATAGTAGCATCATTTGCAACCTTGCTCCGTTCGGGCGCAAATGATGCTACTCGGTATGCCCTCCAAAAGTCATGTGATTGTCCTATTGTTATTCTTATTCCAGTAAACAATAATTTCAACAAAAATGTCCATTCAAGGAAAGTAAGTGGCAGAGCGTTTTTAGTAATATCAAATTTATTGTGCTCTGAGTCGCAAGACATCCTTCTCTTATTGGTTACTGTCAGCATTCAAACGCAAGGTGACAGGAATGCTTGCTGGAAAATTCAAATTAAACGCCTAAGGAAGACCAATGTGAGTGTGGCTTAAGTTTCAACTACATGCAGTAACCTCTAAAGAAGACCGAATGAAAACAGACATCTAAATACATCTAAAGAGCCACCCAGGTTAATCTGAACAAGTGCCAGGGATGTTGTGTTCTTTTTTAAGCATAATTTCTCTGCGGTCAGTGTCATGGCACTTTTTTTGTAAAATTCTTTCTAAGCCATAGCCCTAATCCAGCGATCCCTAGATGAGCAAATACAGTGACTTTCTGTCCCAAAAACCCTACACGTAAGTGAGACCATTAGCCACTTGCATTAAGAGGTCATGTGACCAATGCTTGCTTTAAATCATGATCGAGCTGGAATCTTGCTAATGCCAAAAATTGGCAGAGCACATAAAAATTATCTTACATCCAAAATTGAGAGGAAATGCATTTAATGGAGATATTTTAAGGCTCTTTGATTTTTCAATAAGGTAGTATGATTACAAATCAAATGTAATTGATCAGAAATTCTTGCTTCTACATGTACGTGTTCAGCATGACTGTCTTTAAAGTCACCCCTAGCTAACTTAGTGGCCACCATAATGCTTTCCAGATCAGCAGCTATTATTTATATGTTAATTTTTTTTCTTAAAGGTAAAGGATACTACCCCAACTGGAATTACATGTTTAGATGATGCTCTTTTCAAACAAATTAAGAAGCATCAGGATAAGTCACCTGAAAAGCCCAAAAAGGTCCAAGATTATTTTGAAAAAGAAGTCTGTATATGGAAAGATAAGTCTGAAAAATCCTGTGCTTACAAAGCGCTGGATGATCTTGTGGACCAGGGTATTCTTGACAAGAAGAAGAAGTTCTTTGGAATGAAGTATCCTACTATACAACCAGGTAAGTCAATTAAGAAATTAGCAGGCTAACATAAATAATGTAAGAATTGCATGACAGCTAGGGGCTGCAGGACATTAGTTCTTCAAGTGATGAGGGTGCTGAATAAGAAGTGTGTAGGAAACTGATGGGAGTGGTCCTTAAGGGTATCTCTCGGTTCAAATGGGTCTACATGTAGTTGTTACATATAAAATAAAGAGAGGATTAAAACACTCAGTTGTCCAGCAAATCTGTAAAAAAGCTAAATACAGTGTGTTTTTCACTTTTTGAGCCTGAAATTCCTGTTATTTATTTATTTGTTTTGGCTTTCCAATAATTGATATCAGCCAGCCAATTCCCAATGTGTGGCACTAAAGGGTATGGTTTTTAAAGCAAACTCCTTTGGTCGTAAGAAGTGTGCTTTGCAATCAAAAAGGGATCAAAATTATGTTTTTTTATGCGTTGATTTTGACTCATATTTTGAAGCTTACTTTTAAATTAATCATTTTTAGTTTACTTATACAGATATCAGTACAAATTCTTTATTCGAAATTAATAGTTTATGGGGCATAATTAGTGGACATCGATAGCTGTAGGTCAGTCAATTAGCTCTTTATACAACTGTACTAGGGGTTCACTGTAAGTGGTACCTGTAAACCAGGCCCCAGCTGCTCCAAAGTTGGATAGCGCTATCCACCTTATATAGCATTTTAACTCATGTGGACAGCAGCTATGCAAATTTATTGGATCCAAAGAAAGCGTTTACATGAGAAAAATATTGAACTCCCACAGGACTTGTTTGGGAACCCAACATGGCAGACATGACGTCATGTGAAAATGCCCTATATATTACATGTATTAAATCACCATCCAGTGGGTAAGTATTTAAAAAATCCAATAAAATATTCCACTATCCACTGAGTAGTAATAAAGCTATAGTATAGCACTATCCACCTTGTAAACAACTGGGGCCTTTTAATACTTGGCACTCATCTTGAAGTCAGAGTAAGTAATGATAATTATTCTAACTTCTAAAATCCAGCCACAAGTGTTATCCTTTCGGGGCTAGGGGTTAGTTCAATAGTACACCTGTAAGGCCAACTTGCTCTTATAGGGTCCTCCTCTACTCAGCCCCTGGAGCAACAGTGGCCAAGTAGGATATTAGGGCCCTGGGTACAAGGTTGATCATCAGGTAACAAGACAGTTATTTCCATTGGGATCATCATTTTCCCTTGCAAATGATTGGTTCATAATTTAATTGCATTGCATGTGACTCACACGGCAATCTAACCCTGTAGGTAGTGTGCAAGATGACAAAAAGTCATTGTTGTCATATGAAGCTTAAATCTCCATCCAATGGATAAGGCAACAATACGGTTTTCCAAATACTTATCTGGTACACCATAGATATGATTTAACTGGTTGATAGCACTTAATCCAACTTTTGGACAACCGGAGGAATTAGGTCTGAGGTTCCTTTTGTTTTTTGTTTTTTTAACTGAATTACCTGTTGCTGTTTTTGTTTTCTACTTCATTGCCTGGGTTACTGACAATCATTTATAAAGAACGTCATGTTTTAACACAACACACATGAAATAGGTGTATAAATAAAGTGTATTAATTTTAACTGACAAAAAATTATTTGAAAAATCAGTTTTCATGATTCTGCCTTTGTTTTGCAGAAAAAGAGGCTGCCTTGGTTAAAGAAATTCGTCAAGTGGCTTTGGAAAATGTTTCTCCAGATGCTTATATAAGAGCTTTGCTGTTGATCATGCGTGCAGTGGATAACTTCTACGTGCTCTCTGATCCTCTTCTAAGGAGACATTTCTCCAAAGAGGAATACAAGCTAGCCAAAGAGAGAATCAAGGACCTGGTTGGCCTTGGAAAGAAAAAAGGGGATTGCAAATAGTCAAGACTGTACAGACACTACCATTATTTCCTAGTCCATAAATACATGTATTACATAGTATTCTTCACTGAAGTGTCTTGAAGAGTGGGTGGTACAAATTGGTTTAATCATGATAGGAATTGTATTCCGAGTTTATACTATAACAGTATTATACACACTGCACTGAATCTGGTAATGCTAAGAAATGTAGTTACTGTAGACTGTACATGTACCAATCAATATAAATTCAAGGATAGAAAGTTGAAGACAGAATTAACTCACGTTCGACATGCTATTACAGCATTTATTAGGAGCTGGACTTTGGACTTTTCAGGAAAGTATGTTCTGCAAACAGACTTGGAAATGATTATGAGAAAAAAACTTCTTTTGCCTGGTCAAGGAACCAATTACACAGTGCATGGGCTTAGCCAGCTACTTTTAGTGCACACCAGAAAACGTGAATCAAAAGAGCGCTTAGACTGGGGAAAAAAATTCCCTGAACCAAATCTCCCATCCACCCAAAAAAGTCATGATTATGGTCGGGCCACTTTTGCAAGGGTGAATTTCTTTAAGAGAATTCAGCTTTTAGATGGTTATGCAGATCACTTGGAGTTGTTTACACAGACATTGGAAATATCAGTGTCAGTATGCATGATGGGAAGACTGCTTGCCCAATGAACCTTTTCAGAATTTCAAATTTTACCAAGAAAGATTCCATTTGCCAGACTTGCAGTAGAGTCCACATTCGATCCACGTCAGTTAACACACAGGCTTGGGTCGACAATTTCGTCCATTTATTTCGTCACCCCAAGTCTTGATATGGCGCCTTGGATCACAGGAATATTGGAATTTTCCTGCTTAGCAAACTGCTGATTTTGGATGTTTCAGGACAGAATGACAAATTATATTAATATTTTTACGCACACAGACCATCACGTTAGATTGCAAAATGGCACCTCTGT